AAAATTGTATATTTACCATATTTTTGCCTGATTCCAGTGAAGCCATCGTACAATCAATTCGGCGCAACAAGGCGGCTGCAGCAGCTCTGCTGGCTGACTACAGGGACCCTGGCGAGGGTGTGGTGGACGGAGTCACGGCGGCACAGGAGGCCAAATACAATGAACAACATTATCTTGTATCCAATAGGTGGGTAGTATACACAATATAGTTAATTCTTACTAATATTATAAATCGGAAAGTGAGTTTGTTTGTCTGTTTGTTTGTTCCACTTTCACGCCATAACTACTAAACCGATTGCTTTGAATTTTTGCAGACGTAAAGTTAAAAGTCGTAATCGTTAAATAATAGTGTAGGTACTTTTTATCCCGAAATGTATATTCCCGAGGGATAACAAAAGTATTGGTATAGATGGCGCTGTGTGTATTGGTATATGTCACGTGGGCTACTTTTTATCCTTTTGTGACGCGTGCGAAGCCGCGGGTAAAAGCTAGATAAAAATATATTATTTTGTTTGAAAAAAAAGTTTCTTCGCTCATAGAAATGTACCTATGTATAAGAATCTTGTGCGAATACAAAATTACCTACTTGCATTATATTATTTTGACTTATATTATTATTATAAGAGTGGATATTGGACGCTCCTCCCTACTCAAAGGTTAGGTAATACGTCTCTAACTCCTCTGGTTGCCGATGGGCGGTACTGATTGCTTACCATCAAGTGATCCGCCTAATCGTTTACCGCCTTTTACCGTTACCATTACCTTTCGCAAATGATAACTAAAGATAATTCTTACACACAATTTTATTAATATTTCAGACGAGGTGACACAGCAAACCGTGACTTCGCTGGTGCAGGTGAGGCGGGCTTCATGTGTCCCAGCACTGTGAAGTACGCCAGACCGCAGCGAGCGAGGGCCACGTCTGGACAGTGGAAGTACATCGTCAACACTGGAGAGCATACACAGACGCTGAGATTGGAGAAGTGCCTGTTAGTTTTTTAAACACCGTCTTCATTGTGATAATTTTAAAGATGGCCATTGTTAAACAAAGATAATTCTTTAGTCTACATCTCAAAAGCTACTATATACAGAATAATTAGGTTAAAATACAAAATAAAAATTACTTGTTAATAGCAAACAAAATAAATCATCAAATGTAGCGCCTTTTAATTAGTACCTAATTCAATTTTAAATAAAATTAGTGATAATTAAAAAAGTTGTTTAGGTCAAAATCTACTGACAAAAGAATTTTAAAGCAAACGGTAACACCAACAAAATATTATTTAATTTCATCAATGTCATCGCCCTAGTATTAAACCGAAGTATTGTATAAAAATATTAAATTAAACTTACACAACTTTAAATTAAAGTAGCCGAGGTCTATAATTTCAGCATCATGTCAACGTCTTACAAAAATGTAATTATTTTTCTAGCGAGCACGTAATCAGGCTTTTCGTAAGACTCGTCAGACAATTAAACTTTAGAATTTCATTTTATACTTTGTACATAACACAAAAACATAACATCACGCCTTCTATCCCCGAAGGGGTAGGCAGAGGTGAACACAGAAGTAACACCCACTTTTCATTAATTATGTTATGAGTCCCATTTAATAGGGGGTGAGCCTATTGCCATAAATCGGGCACAATTCCAGACTCCGTGCTACTACTGAGATTTTTATTTAACAACCCAATAATACTTTGCCCGACCCGGGAATCGATTCCGAGACCCCTTGCCGGTAGTCGCACTGGCGCCCACTCGGCCAACGAAGCAGACAACTTTATTTTTTTATTTCATACTTTAAATTCAATTATTTATATAAAATGTATTTTTAATTGTTTCAGGAAACCCAAAGAATCCTGTACTTATTTGACAGACAACTTCAAGTCGAAATGTGTTCAGGTGTACAACTACCATAGGCTACTAACATGGGATCAGCAGAATGGACTTCATATGGACATATTTAAGGTAAGATCCTATCGAGAGTCAAAACTATCGCCAGTCCTTTACTATAATTTAAATGTACATAGTAATTTTGTCAAAGAGACTATGCTCTTATACTAAATTCAGTATCTATCCATTTCAGGTTCCAACATGCTGTTCCTGTCACATTGAAGGCTACAGCGTATCCTTCCCACCACTTGGCCACAGACTCCATGAAACCTCTTCAGAACACTTCCCCGGTGAAGATTTATCCTCAGAAACTGGGAACCATGCTTTTGAAAACGTACAATCTACTATTCAAAAACCTAAAATAAAATCACCACCATTTACTCATAAGAAGCCTCTAGAATCCTTCCCACCGTTCACAGAAAATCAGAATTTGATACCTGGAAGTCCATTTAGTAAGCATAATGATAACGAAGACTCGGTGCCACTAAACCCGATAGACTCGTATGGAAATACATATTTCCCGGATTCCTTCAACCAAGCCAGTTCAATCAGGCAAATCAAACGACCACTTTTAGCCAGAAATCCTCCCCAAAACAACTTTGACGAAGTTACCTTACCGAGCTACTTAGAACCTCCTACTCCAGCTGCAGGTTCTTCATTTAACAACTTTATTAAAGACACCTCACCCAAATTCAAAATTCCTGGAAGTCAATTTAAGAGGACTACGAGACCGAATACGGCATCACGAAGACCAATCAGAAAGAAGCTCGCTGGAGGACCAGACGATTTGGTGTCATCAGGATCTCAAGCAGTTGAATATCCACCTAACAGCAGTGGAGACTCAGCAGAAGAAAATGATTACGAAGAACCTGACATTGGGCAAGCGACCTCAGTGAACACTCCGAAGCCAAGAGTGACAATAGCACCAAAACTTCCAGCTTTAACAACAGAAAAAATAACACCAGCACACAAACAAAGAGAACCAAACAATAATAATGAAAATTTTACTTCAAACGGCAAGAGAGTAAATTATAACTATCATCCAATTATAGACTTCTTTGATGAAGACAAGGCCATGGAGACAGAAGAATCTATAGATAGAGAAGACATAGAACCTAGCTTTATTCCAAGCGAAGAATCAGAATGGAAACCCATAAACCACCCTCCTTCTAGAGATAGTCAAATAAATACTGTTGGTAGGAAAAAACATAAATTAAATATTTAAAATATAAGTAAAATATTAATTACGGTGATGTTATCATAATGATGAATAGTTGCAAGAATTAAGAAAAACAATTATTCATGTTTAAATTAATATATTTAGAATTATTTAGAACGAGCGATTGAGACGATATTAATCTGCTGATGTAATATTAATATACTAAGCTTTTATAAAAGAAATTATCATATTGATAACAAGAAATTACCTTATACTCGAACAATTTCAGATTCTATGTGAATTCGACGCGTGCCTATCAACAAATCTTTAACAATTTCTTATTTTACTTCGTAATCCCTTGGACAGAACGGGTGTTAAGATTGCATCAGCCATTCTATAAGTTATCAGTCTTGATTGCTTGTCTAAACTCTCCCAGTTTAGTTATAGTACATTAGACTAAGTTCCACAATATTGTACACTTTCATCATCCAACGAAACCAAAACAAAGTTGCAATGTAAATTGTTAATATTTATTTATTGTTTATTATTATTATTAAATTGTAATTTATTTAAAATATTTGTAAGTTTTATAGGAGTAAGTTTCTTGTAAATTATAAGGTTTCAAAGACTTGCCACTGAAATAAAAATTGATACCTATAAAATGACTTTTTTTGAACACGAGAACTTTCAAAATGTTATGTATTAATCTTAATAAGTGTAGTATGAATTTTATCAGTTTTGATTTAATATAAAGTACAACGAATCCAGTTAAGTAGCGTCAAAAGTGAAAGCTGTAGCCCCAAAGTTGAACGCACTACGTGAAGATATCTCCCATTCGTTCGAGCTCAGCAGATACTGTAACAGTTGGACAAAAAGTGTGTTGGGACACTAGTACGTAGCCTAGATGTGCACTCAGACAACTCATTGTGTGATAACAGACTTAATAGAACCTATACAATCTTTGTCAATGTATTATTAATAATTGTGCAATTTGTCATGTTCGAGAAATTAGTCTCGTCGACTCAACTGTTTCATGTAGTTCATTGGACAGGTTGTTGTTACAAATTCGCTAAAATGGTCTGCGGAAATCGATTCCGTGTGTTGCAATACTTGTAACTGGTTTAATTTGAAAACAGACTCAGTTTAGTAACATTCTATGGTGGGATTGTGTGGGACAATTCCACAAGATAATTATAATTTCCTATGAAAAAATTAATGAAAAGGTGTAATGAAAGACATTATTTTAAAGAATTAGAAGAGTATACTTTATTTATAAAAATAACAAAGTTTATAAATAATTTCTCCTCATATTGAAAACATTAACAATTACATCTATCACAGTTAACAATATCGAATAATAATATTACAGATTTTTATAACTCAGCTGATCGCTTTCGACTCTAGTCCCGCGATACGTAATGTGGCACTTTCTATTACAATAGACTAATTACTTTCGAAAATATCCAATCGCCATCTTACGAAACTATAACAATAATTTAGTTTTGCTTATATTTTACCCGCGACGTTTGTCTAACTACAACTTTTAGATATCTATTATTTATATTATAATGCATACATTATACAATTAATTACAATAAAAATTACTTACATAAATCAAGCTGAAATATATAGAATAAGATTGCAATGCAAAAGGAAAATAACAAAATTACAATTGCTGTGTCAATTTGGAAACAACTTATAATGAACTATCAATCAACTATCGGTAGTTCGTAACGCGATAATAAGCCTTTTATTAAATGACAATTTCCTCCAGTCCATAACATAACATTACATTACATAAAAATTACAACATACACTGATTTATTTAATCCTTCAGAAGTTACTCAATTCATTAATAGCACAATAATAATATTATAATTAACAAAATCAATAATACATATCATTACAATTTAACAAAATCAAAATCAATAATACTATTGAGCAACTTCAATATACATAACTTTTGTACAAATAACATAGCCTGAATCACTTCGGTACCGCATCTCATCAGAAGTACCTCTATAGGCGAAGTAAAAAAATAGTTTAGAGACAAAACTACATTTTTAATGAATTGTAAAATAATTGAATTCATGGAAAATTATATTTTTACACTGTTCAAGCATCAACATAATAATACATTCGTTTGCTAGGATCTACGATGTACCCTGGGGTTGTGGTCAGTATGGGGACGGCTTGAGCAAAGCTGTTTAGAAGGACGGCAGAATTTAATCTAGCATTATGGGTTGTGCTTTTTACTTGAATATCGTCAAAATCATTATTTTGTGGAGTTACTAATTTTGCACTTTTGTAGTTACCACCATGCATTTTCTCATCTAGAGAAGGCTGGGAGTGGTCGTCATCATCTATATGCTCTTCTTCAGATGCATAATCGAATTCAACTAGTTTCTGATTTCTTCTGTCACCCTTTCTTGTTTTATCGTATTTAAGGTTGCCACCGTGCATTGATTGTATTGAAGGTTCACTCAATTCAATAATTTTAGCGCTTCGACTCCTATCACTTGTTACCTCTATATCACTCTTTGCTTTCAGGTTACCTCCATGTAAACTTTTAGGTACATAATCATCTAATTCAATGTGTTTTGAACTTTTACTCTGGGAAGTTTCGGCATCTTTGGGGTGGTTTATATCTGCTGGAAATTGTAGTAGTCTTAGATCTTCTTTCGTAGCTTTTCGATAATTTCCACCATGTTTTGGACCCTTATCAATATCTAGTTTTTCTGAGAATAATTCCACGTCACTAAGATCATTAATTGCCTTTGCTAAGCCATCCTCTTTATATAGTTCTAACGCTGGACTTTTAATGAGCTGTTTCTTTTTAGGTACCGCTGGTATTTCTTTAATGATTTCAACTTCTTTAATATCTTGCTTAAACTGCGTCATGTGTGGAGATGATGTGTTAGCTGGGGTTTCTTTGTGGATTTCAATCTTTTTCCTCGTAACGACTGGTTTGTGTACAATCCTAACATTTCGAACAGGTAGTGGCGTAGTGGAGCGAATACGTATTGGAACAGTAACTGGAGGAGCTGCTGTTGTTCTAACTAGCGTGTGTTTGATTGGATGTGTTGTAGCAACTTCAGACAATTGTGGAATTTTTTCCTGTACTTCTTCAGAAGCAACCTTTTGGTCTTCAGCGTCATCTTCTTCTTCATCGTCGTCGTCGTCATCTTCTTCATCATCATCATCATCATCATCGTCTTCATCATCGTCGTCATCTTTATCTTTTTTTTTATCATCATCATCATCATCGTCATAATCATCCTCATCATAGTCCTCATAATCATCACCCTTGTCATCACGATTAGTTTCAACTTTATCATCATCATCATCATCATCTTTGTTTTTCCCGTTACCATGTTTGTTTCTATTGATATTATGTCTCCCATTTTTTTTGGATCGATGATGTTCTATTTTGTCCTCCTCTTCTTTTTCATACATTGGCATATAATCATCCATATTAGTCTTCACTCCAATTAATGCATCCACTTCTTCTTTTTTCATGTCTTCTTCGTCATCGTCGCCATATTTTTTAATATCTGTGACTATAGTTCTAGCATGTGATTTTTTCTTCTTTTCTCTATATTTTGGTACTACGGTGTCGTCATCATTATCATTGATTTTTGTTGTGGTACGTTCTTTCATTTCTGTCTTTTCCTCTGCTGGCTTATAGTTGCGAAATCGTGTTACTAATTTAAGACGTTGCATTTCCGTGGAATGCTCTGGTTCTTCAGTTGTACTTTTCTGATTAGCTTTTTCAACTTTTATTCTTCTCCGGAATGAAGGTCTTACTGTGGTGGTGGTCGTTTTAGATGGTTTTTCATCCTCGGCATTTGGGTCATTTTCATAATCTTCTTTAGATTTGCTTGTTTCGGTAGGTGCTGTACTTGTTTTTTTTATAGTATTTGAAGCAGCAGCATTTTGAATATCAGCAGATTTGGGAAGAAATTGTCCAACATCATAATACGACTTTGCACTAGTTTGTGCACCTCCAAAACGTTGACGGCCTCGATTTACTTTTAGAGAGTCTTTAATATTCCTTTCAGTAGTTGTGTGTGACTTATACGCATCAACTGTCATCGCTCGTTTATTTTCAACTGGTGTATATTCTGATTTATGATTAGTTGGTCTAATTTCATACCTTGGTTCTCCTCGACGTTGATCTACACTGACATCAACGAACTTTGCTTCTAGATTTTCACTATCATTTTTAATCGGTTTAGTTCTATCTTTTCTCCCAATATCAACGTAGGTTTTTTTTGGTTGTCTATCTTCTATGTTGGATCTAGAAACCCTTTCCGCTACTCTACTTGACTGTAACTGTTTGATTAATGGACTGATATTACTGGTTGTTGTAGTTTTCTTTGAATCTTGTACTTGACTATCCCGTATAATTTTATATGGTTCATATACAAAAGGTGTTGCCCTTTTTCTTCTTAATTTAATGGGGACCAAAGTCACTGATTCTTTGTTATTAAAAAAATGATACGTTTTAGTTGTATCGTTTGAGTTGTTACTATTTAATGATCCGCTTGCAATTGTTTTTAAAGGTATCGAAGCAGTACTTTTAATATTGTTTAAAATATCAGTATACACAAGTTTGCCTTGGGTACTGTTGTTTGGCGTATAAAAATTGGTTAATAAATTATCTGCTGATTTATTTAAAGACTCTTGTAAGTTTTTCTGATCAGCTTTAAGTTTATCTATAAGAATAAATACATTAGTATTTTCAGCCTCCCTTAATTTGTCCCTTGAATCAGCAATGTCATTTAATTTTGTTTTCAGTGAATCTTCTCCTTTGAGCTTATATGTGGAAAGTTTTGGTGCTATAATAGGTTCAGGATTTAATATTATTTCTTCCTTAAAAAATGGGCTATCTAGTGGATTTTCTCCAAAATATTTTGCTTTAAAGCAATCAATTTTATCTCCAAGACCATTTAGACGTGGCTGTTTTTTTACTGTTTCGAATCTTTTCTTAGCGTTAGATTCTTCATCTTCTTCTGAATTGGTAGGATTTTCTCCATTTTTCAGTTTTTCAGGAATTGGATCCACTTCTTCATCTACTTCAGAGCATTCAAATTGAGACCGAGAGTCATAAAATTCAGTTCCACCATTTGATTTTCTCGGTATCAATTTGAGATTTTCAGCATATCTCAAAGGTGAATTTTTATTAATACCTTTTATTCGATTAAAGTAATATGGATATTTGTCTTTAACGTTATCTGTTTTAGGTTTCGCTATAAGTTTTTCAAGTTTTAGATCATTGCTTGGTATAGCCAATGTTGATGTAATATTGATTTCAGGTACTTCAAAATTCACTTCCCTCTTACCAACTCCATGTTCCGAGTTTGTTATGATCTCTTGATTGTTACTGTTATTATCATTACCATCATTTTCGTTCGCATCATCATCGTATTCGATTTGATCAATATTATCTACACTCTTATTTTCACTATCTTCAGAGTTATTGTTCAACAAATGTTGCCTTTTGCTTCTATTTGCAATTTCAGGGTCATCTTCTTTTTCAATGTTTGCTTCAATATTCTCTTCGTGTTCATCTTCAGAATAAACTTCGGCATCTGTCTCTTCTTCTTCATCTTTGTTATTATTTTTCCATTTTTCGCCATGTTCTAAGTTGTCTTTATACTCTAAACCTCGACCGTCAGTATATTTACCACTGAAAGTGGGAATTTTGTATAAACCACCACTATTTTCATGCTCTTTGAGAAAACCGCCATGGCCTTCGTGGTCAGAAGCATGTTTTTGTTCTCCAGCATGATCATAAGCGGCGTCTTCGTAGCCTTCTTCGCTATAGACGGTTTGCGCTTTTGTACTCTTTACTGCCTCTCTTAGTCGTGGTGCATTCAGGATTTCTTCGTAGGTCTCCGCATCATCAAAAGCAGCTTTTTTGGGCAAGTGCTTATAAGTTTCTGTTTTTCTGACTTGAGCATAGTTTTTTACAGGAATAAACTCATCTTCTTCATCCTCTTTTTCGTCTGCAGGTTCCTGTTTCTGTAGTTCTAATTTTTGATAGTTTGCTGGTCGATTTTGTTGCGCAATATTGTTAACAGATTCATCAAGATTGTTCCTTAATCGTTCATATTTGTTTTTACCCTTTTCATATATATCATAACCATCTTGAGGCTCGGCAACATTTGAAGACGTTACTACTTGAGGATATTCGTTTCGTTCATCGTCATATTTCATTGCATGCTGTTCTCGTAAATTTCGAATGTGGTTATGTAATGGGCGGTAGTGAGCTGGTCTAATTTTCGCGTATTGATTCCAAGGATGTTTAAATCTTTTATTTAGCACATTATTCCTAGTGGGATCATGATATGGTCGTCCGTAATACATAGGTCTTCTTTGAGGTTTATGAATTTCATATTGTGCAGGTATATATTGAGGCGAAAACAGTTTGCTGTTAGTTTTTTCTGGACTTTCCAAATATTCATCTTTAGTAATATTAGGTTCGCCAGCCTCTTTTTCATAAGTTTGTAGTCTGTTTTTGCTATCTTGTAAATCATTCTTAATTTTTGTAAGCACTGGATCTTTGTAAATCGCTTCTAATGCTGGTTCTTCTGCATGGTAGGGATGAAATACCTCATAATTACTTGCAGTTGGCGTCACATAACTTTGCAAAGGACCATTTTGTTGGACATAATTTTGAAAAGGTTGAAAAACAGTATTCTTTTCATCTAGGATTTGATGAACTCCTAACACAGGTTTTTGTTTTTCCGTAAACGGTGTCACTGGATAGGCTTTATAATGGTCTTGAGGATTTTTAACTCCATGGAAGGCGGCAATATCAGCGGCAAACTTAGGTTTTTGCGCAGTATATTGAAAGTACTCGATGGGGACTGGCTTGTAATACGATGGTTTTTTGGCGGGCACATTTTGTGGTACGATTATCTCCACTGATTCTTTGATTGGTTCATTATTCACTTCACTCGAAGCACTTTCTTCCCATGTGACTGGGACCTTTATTGATGAACACAGTTCACAACACAGTAACACTAAGAGTAAACAGGAGACTTTGGTCATGTGCATTGTTTACATCACGGATCGCGACGATGGTTGGCGGTTGACTGAACCAGGTCGATGGGCAACCGAACGGTTTTTATCTCCTCGGTCGTTCGTTGCGGACCGATTGCTTGTCGGCCGTTCGCTTTGTTTATAGCGCATGGTCCAAGTTATAAACTTATGTACACTTAATAATAAGTATTTTATTAAGCGTATAACGTTCAAACTTTATGTTTATTGAAATTTAAATTAAAAGGACGAAATATTCGCCAAAAGTAACATGTTTTTGTCCCATTATCATAATTAACGCCGTAGTCATTGCGATCACACTAACTATTTATTTGGGGTAACCAACAGCTTCATTACAACGAATAACTATTACAGACTAGATCAACACGTAACGCTTTTGTTTTTAAGCTGACAGTAGGTACATTTTTAATCAGAGGACAGACCTTTATAATGCCTCATTTAATTCTGGTTGCTTACAATCATTCGATATTGCTACATCACATGACTTGCACCAAATATCTGTTCAATGGAGAAATTAAGAAAAAAAGGTACATGAAAGATAACGAAACAAATAAATGGCTAACGTCTGGACAAAGAGAGCCGGATCTCGGCCTTACAAGGTGTTACGTGAAAACGTATGATTTATTATTTGGTCCACAGTACAATACTTTGGACCACGTGTCGCATATTGTATAATTACATTGCTTTGTATAAGGGAGTATCTATTAGCAGTTTGGCTTAAAGTGGACTAAGTAGAGATTTTAGAACTAAGATAAAGAGAATCAAGTATTTAGCAATGCTACCTTCATTTAAAGTCGACATGATTCTAGTGGTTTAGGCGAATTTCATTAAGCGACCATGACATGAACTAACTTTGGAAATAACTTATGTCTCATTGATGTTCAATTAACATTCTTAATTAAAGTTTTTAAAGACTATTTTTAGTTCATACATCGCAGTTTGTAAGGAATTGTAAGGAATATAGTAATGTAACGTATATTGTTTGTTGTTGTTTAAGTTATTACTATCATAGTATACTTCTCATTCATTATTCGATTGTATAGAAAAATGCAGTATGATATCATTAACAATCAATTTATGTAAATAATGTAAGTATGGAAAGTAGTAGTGTTTATTTTCCTGCGTTATTTATTATAAAGTCTTCAGCTATTGTTATTACCATTACAAATCAGATATTCTAGGAATGCTTGTTATTTCTAGAGGACATTTTCTTTTATAGCAGTTTAATGGTTAACTTGAATAACTTGATTAATATCTTCATATAAAAGTGTATTTTGTGTGAGAAGGTATGGCTTAGTATTTACCTATTTATTATACCACTTCATAGTACATCACACTAACACAATAAAGACATAAGTTGAATTAGAAGATTAAGACTTTTTCAATCGTTAACTTTGACTTTGACTTCAACACGAGATGAGAATTGATTTTCCTATCTGTACACTTAGTTGGTGATTAGGGAACGAAAGTTAGGTGAGCAAAAAACTATAGAATCCATTTGTTTTCTTTTATTTACTAATGTATAAGTGAAAGTTGTATTTGAAATTATTAGTTTAGTTCATAACCCCATGATTTCCCATTTGCTTCGGCCTTGCATACGACGTCTGTAGAATTGAACCGGTAATTATTTTTAGCTGGCTATTGCGAAATTTTGTTCAGTGCGTGCAGTAAAATTACTAGTTTAGTTATGAGATTAAATTGTTGGCCGAAGTGCTATATCTCTAGAGAGGACAGATGTTTGGTTGATACTGTAGTAGGGATTTCTCATTGATTTTATTTATTAGTCTTACTATGTCTTTTATTTTGTCGAATGATTGCTGAGCAAGAGGTTTAAAATTTGTTTGGAGTGAAGGAATAATTGTAGGTATTCTAAATGGTCTCGATTCACCTCCCATATAGGGGACAATAATAGTGGGGTTTGTCCGAAAATAGATACGACATTTTTGGGCAGGATCTTATTTTGTTTACAAATTTGTTCCTTTATGATCTAACTGAAATAACAACAACTACTTGCTCTTGTACAGTATAAAAGATAAGAGTAACAAATCTTGTTGAATTTTGCAATAGAATATTATATACAATCCGAGTATCAGCTGCATCTACAACATAGTCAATAGTCTCAGTAGGGAGCGCCGCTTGCAGTAGACGACAGGTCGGCCTTTTGCCTGTCTCGCCTAGTCGCCTACCGTGAAATATTGTAACCGCTTTTAGTACAAGTCTTTCTCATACTTAGTACTTAGTGTTCAGTATCACTTCTAGTCTAAATATAGTTATTATATTGCACAAACTGGCTGTATTTGGTTGGGAAATATTTAGTTTGTTTTGATGAGGCATCCGGGGACTGGGACCACAATTATTGGGACCGCGGTCCCAGTCGCCGGGTACATAAAAATTAAATATCATTGTTGGATTATTAATGGTATTTACATCTATCGTAGGAAAATGAAAATGTAATTTAGTAAAATATTTTTTTTAAAATAATGCTTTGGGCGTGACCTACAGTCGATACCGAAACTAAAAATCTGATTATTAGAATGTTTGTCTGTATGTATGTCCAGGATGATTTTTTTTAAGTGCTGCATGGATTAACTTCAAATTTTACATGAATATTACTAACAGGTCGAGTCAACTCATAGGCTACATATTATCATGTTATCAACTACGGGGGTGTGAATCACTATTCCACGCGGACGATGTCGTGGGCTCAGCTAGTACTTAATACCTATTTCTGTTTATCAATTCGATCAACTATGACGAAGGTTCATCGACTTGAAACATAATTGTGTATTGTCGTTATTAAAGGTTATAAGTTTGATTCACGGGCAAAGTACTTTTTTTCAATAATTTCTTGAGTCACTATATACAGTCAGTCATTCAATTGTAGCACAATGTGCGATGCCTGAAGAATTTAAACTTCATTCTTTTTTTTTTGTAGTTATTTAGGTAATAATAAAAACTATTTCCGAAAGTCGTGATGTTACTCGTATTTACTTTAATTAGGGAAGAATAGTAGATTTGAAAATTGTAGCCCATTCTTCAAAATTTCTCAAGGACAATAAAATAGAGCATTAGAACTCGTGCGTCACGGTCCACTAATTAGGCAATCCTGGTATCTATTAAGTATTTTCAAATCGTATCTAATTGGTGGAAATAGTAGCTATTTATTACGAGCATTGCCTGTAACGATTCAATGGTAAGTTTGTGAAACATTTCGAGGGGGACCTCATTTATGTAATGTAACTGCAATCGGTAAATAGAGCAGTCGGTTAGAGTTGATGTAATGTTAGACGGCGGGTACGATTTATTTAGTCTGTCACCAATTTCATCAGGAGCTTGGATAGGCAAATAAAGAAATTCGTCGTTTGTCGATCAATCGAATGATTTTGAAATTCGATTATTAGTTTAGTTTTTAATAATGAAATATGTAAGGTTATTGTTTTGCTTTAGTATCGATTATTTTTAAAGCAATAGCTTATTGTCTGGAATTTTAATATGTTTACCTCTTACTACATAGAATTTGTAACGTAACTGGAATGAATGATACATTGTATTAGTGCACCTCTTAAAAGATGTGACGATGTCTTATGTAACTATCACATAATGAAAGCGTAACAAACTATTATTGATTTACTATACGCATGTAATTTTCCCAGATATATAAGATACTTGTAGAACACGGTAGTAGTAAGGAGTCTAGAATTCTGCTCGGTACCTATATCGCAATGGGTCCGCCTCTAACATGGGTCTTATAACATAAATAGTGAAAAATGCGTGTTACATTGTACAGTGGGATTAAGTGCCGTAATGTGCACCTCTGCCTATCTCTTCATATGGGTTAAAATGCATGTTTTTATGTTGTGTTATATAAGATACTGCAACAAAAAAATACTCAGTTTATAACAAAAACAAGTTTCAACACAATAACGTACAACGCGTAATACTCCATAATATCAAACACACGCACATAACTATATCTTTTCTATCTAATGCTTTAATATTAGTTTCGTTCGCACGAGGAAGTTATAAATACAAAACTAGGTATTTCTCAACTGCCTGTTATTGGTCAATGGTTTGTTCTAGATATTTCCAGTGCCCAGGGTCGATGACCTAGGGTCTAGGTCACCGTAGGCTTAAGATAATTGTACAAGTAGTTTTTATGATTATAATAAATATTACAAACATACTTAGAATTCTCTATTAATTATTATTTTCTTTTTATGTTGTAAGAAATTCTAATATTTCATACAAAAGCCATTGTTTTTCATAACGTTTAATACTGTAAATATCTAAAATTCTTTAAAATTATAAACAGAGCAAAGATAAAGGTCTGGGTATGTGAAATGAAATGTTTATAAACATACTTACGACATAAAAGAAATTTTCAGCTTATGAAAAAAAGGAAAATGTTAAAAATTCATAGTATTTTAAAATAAAGCATACGTAGTATATAGCTACAATTTTATAAATAAGTATAACAATTTTGTATACCATTGTTTCGTCTTTTCCATCATCGTACCACAAGACAATCGGCTAAGCGTCACCGATTCATGGTAGATCTCTCACCCACACGCATGAAGCGCTTCGCATCAGTTTCCTTGTGCGTACAGCTAAGGAGTGGAATTCTTTGCCAGAGTCTGTATTTCCTGAAGGGTATAACTTGGGCGTTCAAGGCTCAAGTGAGTAGGTTGCTTATGGGACAACGTGTTCCATCGTAGACCGCATCATAGTCTATTACCAGGCGAGTTAGTGGTCAAACGTCAGCCCATCAAATATACATACATACATAACATCACGCCTTTTATCCCCGACAGGATAGGCAGAGGTATACCTACATTATGACACTGTACAATGTAACACCCACTTTTCACGTAATAGGGGGTGAGCCTATTGCCATATACCGGGCACATTTCCAGACTACATGCTACTACTGAGAATTTTTTAAAAACTAAGTAACACTTTGCCCGACCCGGGAATCGAACCCGAGACTTTTTACCCGGCAGTCGCACTTGAGACCAGTCGGGCAACAAGGCAGTCAAAAATATATATATAAAGCATAGAATATCTCTAAAATCACCACCATCATCGTCATATTAACTACAAGAAGTCCACTGCCAGATTCAATAATTTTCATCCCCATATTTCAATAAACACAAAAATCACTAGTTCACACGGTACGGTTAACAAACCTTATTATTTACTTTAGTTTAACAAGAAAGAAACCAAAATGAAAGCGATGGTGTTCATTCGGTCACAGTTACAGAGTACCCCGTAATATTGCGTCACGGTTTGAAGCATTCCGTTTTGGCATGTACGTGCTTTGACTAATTGAGATGGCTCTGTTATTATGAGTAACTTTTTGTACTGTAAACATCTTTAGAATTCTTCTTGTATAGGTCTGAGCACCGAATATTTTTTTTTACATATAATTGGCAATGCATTTGTAACTTTTCCGGCGCGCTGATAGCGCTGATTGCTTACCATCAGGCGACCAGTCTCGCCTCCTACAAAAATCGTACGAGTGAGTTAGAACAAAAAAATGGTATAATGTAATCTTAGACTGCCTCGTTGGCCGAGTGGTCACAAGTACGACTGCTGGACAAGGGGTCTCGAGTTCGATTTCCGGGTAGGGCAAAATATTACTGGGATTTAAAAATAAATCTCAGTAGTAGTACGGAGTTTGGAATTGTGCGCTATTACTTGGGACTCATAACATAAATAGTGAAAAGTGGATGTTACTTTGTACAGTGGCATTAAGTGCCGTAATGTGCACCTCTACCTACCCTTTCGGGGTTAAAGGGTGTGATGTTATGTTATGTGTGTACTCTTAGATTAACCATAATATTACATAACACGATTAAATGTATACCTTAACTCTTCTGAAACATATGACGGTTTGACCGGAGTGATACCACGGCCTCACAGAAAACCGACGTGAAGCAACGCTTGCGTTGTGTTTCGTCGTGTGAGTGAGGTTACCGGAGGCCCAATTACCTTCCCCTTCCCCAATCTCCCCAATCCCTGAATCTCCAACGATCCTCAAACTCCTAATCCCCAAAAAGCCGGTGACGCACTTGTAACGCCTCTGGTGTTCCAGGTGTCCATGGGCGACGCCGATTGCTAACCATCAGGTGATCCGTCCGCTCATTTACCGGCATAAAAAACAAAAAAAAATTAATATAATAAATCAAATCGATGTTTTATTTTTATAAGCACCTGATAGTATGCGAAACCTCGCAACCGACAGCCGCGCTTGCCACGAACAACGACCTGTAAGCCACAAAACCCATTAGTTACCCATTGCGTGACAATTCGATATCAATGGTGTAGCCGACTTTAATAACAATAACTTTCGTAATTCACAAAGATATTAACTTTTTTCTTAGACAATTTGCAATCTGTAACCGATGAGTTTAGGCCAAGTTAAGAATTAACTTATTTTTTACTTTATAGCTTGATTTGCATTTAGTAATTGTTAACGACTATCGACTGTTGACTAACTTTGGAAACTATTGAGTCAAGGAAAATGTTTTTATATGGACCGTTTTGTAAAACGTGTCTAATTTGAAAATTAACTGGAACCTGAAGATCATAACCTCTTGTACATAAAAAGTGGTTTGAAGATACTTCACTGTAGTAAGTAGAGCAAGGTACATTTGAAACCTTACAACGCTTGAGTGTCGTGGTGGCCCGGAGGTTTAAGAGGCCCGCTTCTCATGCAAGAGGGTGCGGGTTCGAAACCTACCAACGGCAAGTATCAACGTGACCTTTTCAGAGTTATATGTACTTTCTAAGATTATCTAGACACCACTGACAAACGGTGAAGGAAAACATCGTGAGGAAACCTGGGCTTACAATTTCTAATTATTATAAGTCTGTAATCGCCAACCCGCACTGAGCAAACGTGGTGATTAATGCTCAAACCTTCTCCTTGTGAGAAGAGGCTTTGCTCAGCAATGGGTATTTATAGGCTGTTGATGATGATTGATGATGAATGCTTGCGACTATTCGAGCAACCAGACATTCATATTTTACTAAAACAATTTTTGACATTTCCATTTTCCAAACCCACACAGCTACAAGTACATAATATATTTATATAACGTACTTGGAATGCACCATTTTAAGTTTTAACTAAATAAAAAAAAATGTACTGGCAGTGGACGATTTTGTATTTTAATTATCACGCCATCTACAACTGTTACATGGAACTTCAAAGCGTAACTATGACATTGGAATTAATATTGTTCTAGTTTTCTGTTTAACATAAGGTATAGGCAGAGCTATTCAAGTTTCAACTCTTTTTCGCCAGTTATGTGATAAGTCCTATGTAACATAACAGTAGGTATTATTTTTAAGTTTCTATTAATACCTATAGCCTATACATATATATCATAAGTGGAACAGTAAGTATGTGTATACTTTTTTGTCATTGGTATCTGAAATTGTTATCAGCTATCAGCCAGTCTGTTAAGATTTTATCATAAGTTAATGCTAAATACTAATTGAGACCTAAATATTTTACTGACTAACTTGACCTTAGCAATACTTGTAGATTAAATACTTTAGATGTTTTAATGATAAGTCTAATTTATGACTCGATAATAAACTCTATTGCAACTGTGCAGTGTGTACTATTGGTTACCATTTTGGGAAAAATATCGTGATACGCTATTATTCTGTAAGATTTCATGAATATTTAACAATAAGTTTTTATAAATCACGCTGAATGATGAACGATAAGGTACATTGAACCTGAGTATGGCCTGCAATTGTTACCGGCCACTTAAGGATGACAAATTTAAAAGTACTCTAAATTTTGTTGATCTGTGAACTGTGATCCTCAACACACTTATTAACCATAAAACGATGTAGTTTTAGTCAGTAAGCTAGTCTGAGACTCTCTTTCGCCTCACCCGGGCGGGAGTAAGAACATTACCCACATTCACGAAGCACTTCGCATCAAGCTTTCTTGTGCGTACTGCAAAGGAGTGGAATTCTTTGCCAGACTCTGTGTTTCCTGAAGGGTAGAACCTGGGCGTCTTCAAGGCCCGAGTGAATATGTGGCTTATGGGTCGACGTGCTCCATCGTAGACCACATCATCACTAACCACCAGGCGAGATAGTGGTCACACGTCAGCCGATCAAATATAGAAAAAAAACATTGGATGGTTTTCCACCCTCAAAAAAAGGGTGGGGACTATGGCAAACAGCACCTCTTTAGAGAAATGTCTGTGTTCAACAGTGGACATCCACAGGCTGAAGATGTATGATGATTGTATTTCTAGAACGTAAATTATTGTCAACAGTAAAAGGCCTCAAGGCACACTGCGTTTAATTAACAGAATTATTTTTGTCTACATTTAGGTTCTAAAATTTGAAGATCTAATCTCAATTGCGGTTGCGGTTTATAACTTCGGTTACTGGGAATATTTATCAGTAACATTATTGTTATTAATAATCGAATACAAAGCTTCGATACGAGTTATTTTGACGGTCACTGTCGACGTATATAAGCTGCGCCTGAGTTGCGGGGCGTCTCACTACGCTGTAGTTACTTGTGTGACATCACAACATGATTTCTTTACGGGTGAGTGAAGTTTGTTTATCATTATAATATAAACAATAAAATATCTGTAAACATTTAGCGATAGATAAATAGCCTAACAACCGCCTACAAATATAGCTTAACAACCCCGCATAGTTTGATGTATCTTTTTAAAACTAGATATGCAAACTTTTTAGTTGTGCATGTTATGACTTTTTTCCTTTGTTTATATTACAATTGCGTATATTATGCAATGAAATAGAAAGATGTTCTCTCGTTGTGAAGAATTTCTTATTTCGTTCAACAGAATATTAACAATCTTTAGGACAATTTGTGTTATAAGGGAGTGTTATTGTTTCAAGGTTACGTTTTGTGTGTGTGTGTGTGTGTGTGTGTGTGTGTGTGTTTATGTGCTTGTTTGTGCATGTATCCTTTTCATTGTATTATATATTTTACATATTTAGAATAGATAAACAACAACTTGCGTAGCTAAATGTATAGTAATAAATGAAAAAGAGAGATTACAGTGAGAGTTTTATTATTGAGGCAGCAATATCATACTTTGTTTTAGTGTTGGAACTTTACAATATGTTTAAACTTTAGGTCTGTTAATTTCATTGTCAATAAGTAATAAGCACTTCATCGCTTAAATAAATATTTTATATTAGAAACTTAAATAGACATATTAAAATATTAAACAAACAGTAGATAGGCTGGGCACTTATAGTGAACTACAATAAGTAAGTAAGTAGGTAAGTAAGTACCTACTTGATTACGAAACTTATGAATGTAAATGAGTTTAAGTACATTGAATTAATATAATGATATCTCTCTAATAGCACTGCTTTCGACATTTAATTGATATAAGTGATATAACTTACAATCTCAAATTAAATGTTTTTTCTTCGTGTTTGTATAGTTTTGGTGAAACACGCAATTTAGTTTATGTAACGTTTTTATTGATTACTCTCAAGTTATTTCCGTTTGTATTGACCTAATGGTATGACTCTTTTTCTCTGTTATTTTTTTAATTAATTACATAACATAGCATAACATTACATTTATTATGTGTGCTACATCACTTTACACTATTTATGTTATGAGTCCCATATAATAGGGGATGAGCATATACCGGGCACAATTCCAGACTCGGTGCTACTGAGATTTTTTTTAAAAAGCCCAGTAGTATTTTGCCCGACCCGAGAATCGAACCCGAAACCCCTTACTCGGTCAACGAGGCAGTAATAACTTTATTGTTTGTATTAAATGTTTTTTCATACTATTCACAGCTAAATTGACATAGGTTACGAATGGGTAAAGCAAACACCAGTCTACTGCAGTCCATATTTTCTTTATAAGCTAAAAATTGCAAGATTGTAAAGTTGCATCTTGTTGATCATAGTTGTTCATTTTCTTAAATGCAACAAATTCGTATTTTTTTTTATTCTTCATTTTTTTGGGTTGTTATCTACCCGGATACGTCAACCCCATCGTACATATTTAAAGTTATAGTACTCTTTGTAAATCTACTAATTCTAATTAGATCTGAAGAACACATCCGAAACATGAACATTTCTTTTGAAAAGCTTACATCATTGGAGTTTTTTTTTTCAAGAAAATTAGTATAACATTTTACATAATAATCGTTATTGAACGCTTTCCCGGGAAAAGTAAACCAGATCTTATGTCAAGAGTTACAACATCATCTTCTACCTACATATCTACACAGATAATATTAAAATTGGAGTGTCTGTTTTTAATATTAAAATAACTGCTTTTTATTACATGCCTATGAATATACATACAATACACATACAGAATATAACATTTTTTTAAAGGAGAATGGCAGGTTTGTATGGAGGTTTGGTACCGCTATAAAATTTTGTATTTGTCATTGTTTTAACCAAGTGAATGGTCTGAACGATAGATATTTTTATTATGAAGTTTAGAAAAAAATTACATATTTTTAGAACTTCGGGTTCAAAAGTTATTTCACTTTGAAAATGTGCAGAAGGTACGTAAAGGCGGTATTACACTTGCCATTGCGTATTCGCTTCATTTGTACAAATATTTGTGAACTACGTACAAATGGCGTCCAAATAGTATCTATAAATGTAAAAGCGTGCAAATATACGTATATAGCAAATGAAGACGAATAAACCCTCCACACATGGTCTGTTTTGGCCGTACACAACAAATACGCAATGTCAAGTATAATGCCACCTTTACGCAAAAGTACATAATATGACAAATGACAGATGACAGTTAATTGAAAAATGTCAATGTTGACTTATTTTTTATTTGGTTGTTTTGTTTACAAACTAAACTCTAAACACTGCTCGCTACTCGTGACTGTTACACTTTGTATTATGAGTAAATTAATTAACTGTTAATTCAGCAAGTATGCTGTAACTATAGAGTTTTACAGAGTATGCTTTACAATCTCTTTCATTTACTAGGTGCCTACGAAAATGCAAATTAATATTGTGAGCGACTGTCATTGGGTAGAAGGCCTACATTTAGCAGTGGACGTCTTTTGGCGGATATGATAAAACTAATGTCTCACTTCACCTTGAATCTTGCGGGCAGATGCAAGATTTAATGTGTAAAATCAAGATTCGAGGCAGAGGCCTGATATACAAATAGTCTTTAAGTTAATTCGATTTAAACTTAAGCGTAGCTCTTTGAGAAAGTATTTCTTCTGAAAACTGGTTGCTTAGCAAGCGTTTTAAGGTTTAATTTCTAATAAGTAAGTCAAATAAGTAAAATCATCATCAGTTTCATCATTAAGTCTATAAGTGGCCCATGCCGACCGAAGGTCTCTTCTCACTGGATTAGGTTTAAGCATTAACTCGTTGAGTACCGTAATTATAGACACAATTAAAGAACAATAGGTTGTGGTCATCGGTGACCGCTCTGTGTTTGACAGTTTAATCAGTACGCTAGCTTAATGTGGGTTGGTGATTTCAAACTTATAATTAGAAATTATAAGCCCAGGTTTCCTCACAATGTTTTCCTTCACCGTTTGTCAGTGGTGTCTTTGTACTTTCTTAGATTATTAAATAATAAATAAAAAATATATATACATAACTCGAAAAAGTCACATTGGTACTTTGCCGTTGCAACTTGCACTCTCATGCATGAGAAACGGGCTTCTTAAACCTCCTGGCCACCACAACACAAGTAAAGAAATGTAAAATGAAAATGAACATTTTTGGTATAAAACTAAAGCAATCTAAAATAAAGATGGCATTTATTTTATAGATTGTTTATATATAGTTACTAGGTACCTGTTTAAAATAAAACAAATGTATTATTTTGAAATACTTTTATTTCATTGTATTTAGGTTGTTTCTAGGAGTACTTCTTCTAAAAAGAGAGCAGGCGGTGTCATACAGCACACACTTCATTAATTGCTGATATCTGTAAACAAGTAAGATAACTGTAAATAAAGTAAACAAAACAACATTTTTTCCATTAGTTTCACATGTTATAATTCTGATTCCCTATCTCAAAATAGAAAAGATAAAAATAAATATTTGATTACATTATTTGATTTTACAATGTTAAAATGCCTTTAACTCGTCGAGTACCATCATTATAGACACAATTATAGAACAATAGGTTGCGGTCACCGGTGACCGCTTGGTGTTTGACAGTTTAATAGGGTATTCCTATAACACACATCATAGGAGCTCAAACAGCATGCTAATTAATCAATTATTATAATTATAACATGTGTATAAACCTATTATAAACCGGTTATACACTTCACATACCTATTGAAGCTCTGACAGCCGATCAACATCTTCTGGCCTCATCTGTTCTACAAACGGCAATGTTAAAGTGAGGCTTAGTCCATGTTTACATAACACATTACATCCTGATAGTGAACACTATGAGGTGGTATGTCAGGTTGTGGTCTTATAGATCCGACTCTTGTTAAGGCTCTCAGCCAGCATGGAACACGATCTTCATCATTGGAAGTAAGCTAAAAAAAGTAATATTATTAGAATGTCATATTGACTTTAAATTATATGATAATAGTATATGGTTAATACAATAAATTATTACCTTTCGTGGCTGAATCCAATCAGATACTATATGAGCTAGTCTTTGCTCCTGTTCGTTGGCGCCTTCAATTAAACCCCTGCGTCACCTTATCCTTGCAATGGAATGCCCACATACGACACAGACATGTCAATGATCAGTTTGTTTGCTGGACATACTTTCAGGAACATCCCAATACATTGCTAATTGCCAGCAAGCATGGCAAATATGGTCGGTAGGAGAGATCTAGAATAAAATGATACATTATAGGTAGATAACACTATGCCCCCTTTATTTAGGCAACAAGGTGACTTTCGATACGTCATGTGTAATTATAGGTAAGTACCTACTTACATCTCTAGGATAAGTCCACAATGGGATATTGTTGACCACGTCTAGTCTTCACTCTCATTTCCTAGAGCATGCCGTCTCATGCGACAAACTCTGGTTGTAATTAATGCACTGTAAATTCGTCATCGCGACAAAATACAACACACTATGCACAAATGAAAATAAGTGTATTTTCGCAATTTCGGCTACGGAGGAACGGCTGCCCAACTCAAAGTATCACCAGATGAATAAAATGACTTCCAATTTGTACAAACACATCATAACACCGCATTCGAAACCAACAGCAAGGCGCACTTGACATTGACAAATCGTCTTCAACAACAAATGTCAAATACCAGTTCAACATTGCCATATTCAAGTTTGTGAAAATGTTAATTATCGTTAATAATCCATGTAGACCTCACAAAATGAAATTAAAATAATGATATTTACTTATAAAAAATGTTTGAAATGGAAAGGAAAATATTCCATTGATATTAAAATAAATGAGTTTATGAAATAGCGACATTCAATATACTCTGATTTCATGTTTACGCATGGCAACTTTATAAACGTCAATCGCGGTTTGTTTTTATTTAATATGTAGCCGTTTTGTTGATTGCTTCTTATCATTATTGAATATCAGATTTTCTAGGGCTTCC